CGCGGAGCAGCGCGGCCGGGGGCACCGGCAGCCGCGGTGGGAGGAGGACGCCCAGTGGCTCTGATCCGAGCTGCCTCTTTCTGACCACTTAGCATGAAATCTGCCCCAAATTTCCGTGCGTTGCTGGGGGTCCTGGCAAGTGAAACACTGACAGTGAAGGGCTGTTCACAGGAGGGACTGAAATCTTTTATGTCTCCCTTATTGGCTTATTGCAGAGGCGAATTTTCATCGAGGCACATTTTACGCTAATCCTGTTTACACATTTTTTTACAGACTCGTCACACATTGCAATTTTATTTATTTTTTTTCCCCAACTGACATGGTTGCTCCTTTCTCGTTGCTCTCATGCAATTTCTCCACACGTCTCATCCGCCGAGCCCTTAGGGGTGGTGTCTGTGACAGGGCTACAACGTTGGGACTGCCAGTACCCATGTCCTGCCCTTGCTTCCCTGCCGATGCCCTTGCTGGTGGCCTTGCTGATGGCCTTGGTGATGCCCTTGCTGCCGTCCTTGCTGTCCTTTGCCAAGGTCACCCCTCCGTGCCTTAGTTTCCCAGGGGAAACTGTCATCCTTGGAGCCACTAGTTGGTCCAGAAGCTCCTCAGTGCAAGGGCAGCCCCGTAGGCTGGGGTTTATATGTTCTGTGCATAAATGAGTCCACCTGTGCCCATTTGTGCCACAGGAATCAGCTGGGATCGGCTGCAAGCGGCGAATGAGAAGCAGCACGAGCTTGTGCCTCGCGCGGGGGCTGGCAGCTGCTCGCTGGAGCTTTATTAAACCCATTTGTTAGAAGGATGGAGGCAGAGGCAGCTCACACGTGACGCCGGCCATGGGGCTGACCTGAGCACAGCCAGGCTCTGCCGTCAGCGCCAGGTCACTGCAGCGAGATGACGGGCGCCAGCGCCCAGCTCCACTCGCTCCCCGTCCCTGGGGCACGAAGCGGAGCGTGAAGCGAGCGGGGAAGGACGTGGGGAAGGACAGAGCTGGCAGCGTGGGGGCTCATCCTGCTCCGTCTCCTTGCAGATGATCCCTTTCCCTTTCAGCGAGGCACCGAGGATGCAAGGAGACCTGGCAGCACTGACGCCCTCCTGGCCACCTTGGGCCCCCGAGCCACAGAGGTGACCCCAGAGCAAAGGGAGCAGCCGTCAGGAGCACAGGCTCCGGCACATGGGGTATCCAGGGGTGGCGCTGGGGTATCTGTGCAGGATGGAGCCCCTTGGGGAGGGGAAAAGAGCAAGCAAAAGTGCATGGGAAACGGCCTGAAAAGCTGCTGCTGTTGGTGAACAGGGAAGGGAAATAAAAGCTCATCTGCACTGGAGCTGCTGGGAAGGCTCTCCCATAGCGCCCTAACATGCACCGTTGCTTCTCTGCACCAGCCGGGAATCGAACCCGGGTCACAAGAATGGGAATCTTGCATGATACCACTACACCACTGGTGCTGCAAGTGTGCAGGGCTCAGTGCGGGCCCAGGGACCCTGCGCGCAGCTCTCCCAGCTGTTCTGTGAGTTGTGGCCCAGCTGCATCAGCCCCTGCAGCCCCATTTGCCGAGAGCGGCTCCTGCAGGAGGCTGTAGCACAGCCAAATGGGGCCAGGCTGTGCCCGTCTCGCAGGCACCGAGTCTGGGGGAAGCAGCGCGTGGGAGAGGTGAGAAATCTCAGTGCTACTGCAGCGATGGGGAGGCTGCCGCGAGGGCTCAGCCCCCACGAGACACCAGTGAGTCCCTGCTGCCACCAGCGGCTTGAGCTGGATGTGCCACGGGACCCCAGTGATTCTCCCATGGGAAACTTGCTTTTCCCACTAGGAAACAGCAGCTTGGGAAAAGCGAGGCCGCTGAGCGCTCATGTAGGGGCGAAGCTGGTACAAAAACGCAGCACCCTGAGTGGCGGAGGAGGGCGCTGGGTCCCTCCTGCACCGAGGACAAAACTCGGCCGTGTGTACCCCCACACACGGGTGCCAGCAGGAGGGAGCTTCGCCCCCATGGGGAAGCCACCGCACGGTCTGGCCTCATCCCGGGAGCAAGTGGCGCCGTCGAGCCCCTAATTTCATGCAGGAATGTCCCGCTCCTTGCAATGTTTAACTGCCACGTGGTTGCACGCTGCCTGCGGCCAGCAAAACCCTCCAAATCCCCCCACCACCATGGCAGAGACACGAAAGACGTCTCCTGTCCCCAGAGCAGGTTTAATTCCCTGGAGATCTTTGGTGTCGGTGCAGGGAGAGGCTTTGCCCCAGTCCCCGCCGCCAGCAGCGCATCAAGCAGCTCAGGGCCGGCGCTGCCATCGCTCTGCCCAGCACCTTGCGCTTCCATCTCCTGGCCCGGCACATCCTGGTGAAACAGATGTTTCCAGGTGGTCCGCAGGGCGGCAGGGTTGCCTCCAGTCCTGCACTGTCCTCAGCACAGCCGTGCTGGGCCGCTAGTCCTCGGGCTCGAATTGGA